AAAAAAAAAAAAAAAAAGGGGGGGGGAACCTTTTATATTTACACAGAGCCCCGCTTTGCCCTGTTTTTTTGCGGGGCTGCTTTTTTTGTGTATTTCTCTGATTTTCATGGAAAAGGTCTGATTTTGCATTTTCTGGAAAAATTGTGAAATCACGATTTCAGTACATCTCTACCTGTTGGTGATGGGAGCTAAGCAGTGGCTGCAGTTCCTTGACATTGTTCACCCTACCACCAGAGGTGGGTCCAGATCCAGCTATCAAAGAAGCCCCATGGCCCATATCTGGGCAAGGTGAGTTTAACGCCTCTGCTTTAGGGTATGCATTTCCTTTTGCCTAGAAAGTTAAGTGTGCTGCAATATTTGCACAGAAGCCTCTCAGCATGGATCTCTGTATGTAGGTCTGTTACGAGACTGGTTCCTAGGAACATCAAAAGTCATTCATCTAGGGCATGTTCTACCCCTGGGGTCCCTAGAAATACCACTGTAATTGATATATTTATAGGGCAGGTTATATTGCCTATGTTACACAGAAGATCAGATTAGATTTATCATAGTAATCTTTTTTTGCCTTAAAAATCCATGGAAGATCATGGAAATAGCCAGTTAAAGCCATCTTCACTATTTATGTTTCTTTTATGTACTCAGATTTCTATCCTGAAGTTTTGTACTGGCACTCGTTATTACTATCTGAGCACCTCCGAGATAAATTGTATTTCAGTTACCTACTGAATAATTTGCAATTAAATGTATTTCAGTGTTTGTAGCCTTAATGCCCCTTTGGGATGTTTGGGCCCAAAACCTCAGAATAGGACCTTTCCAGTAAAACACACACTTGACCACAAGTAATCATCTACAATAGCCATACCAAATTACTACTGCATACAGTACTTGAATGTGCAGCCTTGGTTCCAACCACATTTAAATCAATATGCCACATTTAAATACATTGATAGTCTCAATCCACGTAGGTACTAGTAAAATTGTCTGCTGTTGCTATCTGAAAAAGTATGAAGTTAGACTCATTTTGAATATGAGGGAGATGTGACTGGTTTGTGCATTGTCTGTGTCCTCACCTCCATTAGATCATCTGTTGCACCTGATGTGCTACCTTTTTCTTATCCTCCCTTCCCTCTGTCCTGTCTGCCTGGCTCCCCAGTTGCAAACTATCAAGGGAAACAGTGTATATTATGTACGTGTTTCCCCACTTAAATGTTTTTTGATTAAAAAGAATTGGATCTGTAAACTTTGACTGTGTTCCTTGAAGAAAGTAGAAAGAATTGAATGGTCAAAAGGAAAGAAATATGTTCTGAACAATCATTTGCATAAAGAGTGATTAACTTCAGATTTTCTTTAATATTGCACTGTTGACAAGCCCCTCATTTTTTATGTTTACAAACAAATATTCATATATATGAATATTGGAAGTTTTTTAGTACTCTCTTTAAATCTTGGAATGATTTTGGTAGTGATGTTAACTTAATTCTTTTTTATGTTTCAGAGAAATTGTGGAGCATATGGTTCAGCACTTTAAAACACAAATCTTTGGGGATCGTAAACCAGTATTTGATGGAAGAAAAAATCTTTATACAGCTATGGCGCTTCCTATCGGGAGGGAGAAAGTAAGTTTTTAAAACTAAGTTTCTAATCAGAGATTGCAGTGTAATGGCATCTTGCCTTGTGATTATTCTTTGTCCTTCCCCAGACCTCTCCTGGTACCTAGTGATTTTATGCTTGGACTAAATCACTAAATAAAAAACATTCCTGCTAGGGCCTAATAAAATAACTTGTACTGGGTTTCACCAAATGAGAGAGAGTGTGTACTCCAGAGAGTTGGTTTACAGTTGAAGTAGACAATACAGACAAATGGGAGAGAGGAGCAAAAGTAGAGAGATGAAGTGATTTATTGAAGGTCATGGGACAGAACTGGAAAGTACTGAGGACCTCCTGATTTCTGCTCCAGTTTTCTATCCATTGGACTACACTGGCTCTTACTGTCACCTGCCGTGTGCTTGCACAATGTCCAGCGTAATCCAGCCTTTATACATGACTGTCCTGTAAATAATTTATTACTTATTTTCCGAGTGTCTTGTGGTCTTGAATGAGTTTGAGGCAAAAAAAAGTTCAGAATATGATCCAGTCTCGCTTAACTGCAAATATCAGAGAAAATGGTGAGCTGAGGATTTAAGGAATCAAAAAGCTTCTCTGGATTCTTCACTAAGCATATACCTCAGTTTACTACTTAGGAGATATAGTTTCCTGTATTCCTACAAAATTTAAACTTTAGTAAAAATATTTAATCTCAAAGTATCCTCAGCAAATGTAGTGTTAGCTTCTGGTGCCTCTTCAGTTCTTCAGATAACTCCTATAGAAATCCATGTCAAAGCAGATACTTTTTAGTATAATTCTAACAGAGAAAAATGCAAACCAATACGTTTATCTAGACATAGTATTTTTAATTTGTATTTCTATGTGAGGGATGCTAAGCTAATGGTGATATTGAACATCTAACCCTTCCTTTTGAATTGTCATTTCAACACTGAATGAACATAACTTTCTGCATTTAATTTTAATTATTTTAAGATAAACTTTCTGTGGCAACTTTTTAAATGGTCCCAATTAAAATGTGTACCTACAACAACTCTATAGGAATCTCCATAGCAGATTTCAGACAGCCAAATGAAGTTCCGTACACTTTTGGAGGACAAGACTAGGATTCAGAATGACCTGGATAAACTGGCAAACTGATGGTGCGAGGGGGCAGGGCCAAGGCTGGGCCCAATCCTAGTGAACAGAGATGGGAAGGGGTAGTGCCCAGGCCCAGGGCCTAATCCTGGTGTGCAGGGCTGTGTCTAGTCACAGTCAGCTTCCAGCCACTCTTCTGGCTCTCGGGCTCAAAATATTGAGTGCTACTGGTTTAGACAGAGCAGATCCTGCCTTGAGCATGAGATTGGATGAAATGACCTCTGGTTCTCTTGTAGCCCTATTTTTCTGTGATTCTACAGGGTAACCCTTCTCATTTTCTTCTGTTGGTTTAGGGACCTATTGTTTTGTGGCCTCATAAACCATTCTGGATGATTTGAATCCAAAAGTCTATTTATAAGAAAGTATTTGTGTGGGAATAAAGTATAGCGACAGTTACACAGCAGGAAACATGTTTTTATATTGCCAATAGGTTTGCTATTTTTATTGGTCTTCCTCAGCCCAACTGTATAACTGTCAGAGCTGGCTCTCTCATTCAGGAAGTCACTTTGGCATCTGCTTTCTAGGAAGTCACAGCAGCAGATCCTCAGAATTCCTGCTATTGTTTGCCAGCACAGTTGCTTTTGAAAGCTGACTCCAGACTGATGCTTTGCACCAAAACCTTTGCTGTTAGTCGAAGAGTACACAGTACATTTTCCCCAGAAGCTTGAAAATAGGAAATAGGAGGCTATGCTTGAAATATTTTGGCAGTTCTAGTGTTTGCAACAAAGAGAATCATATAACTTACATTCTGGAAGAAGTATGTAGGGTTTTGTCCAACGGCTGTCTTTTTTTTTTAGGAGTTATATTAGACAGTACATGGAGACCCATTGATGTAGGTCAGTGTTTGAAGTGTATTTGATCGCAGCAATTTAGAGCTTACAAATAGCTATTTTTATATATGTGTGTTGTTATTTTTCTTCATCTATTTCAATATTGAAAACAAAATATTTGATTTAGTCTGTGATACAGATTAGCTACCTGACTTGGGTCATATCAGGGTATGAGCCAAGCCAAAGTGTTAGCTGTAATTGCAATGCAGATGCTTCAATCCCAGGTCTTTTATTTCCATCGGGGTACACAGTTACTGCAATACAAGTAGTCTAGTTCTTTATCTTTGTTCCATTCCATTACGGTTAAGGGGCTCGTAAGTTGAGACCGGGGGAGGGAGGAGGAGGAAAGAAGAGAAAGAAATGGACAGGGTAGAAACATGATGCATAACATGATTTTTGGTAAGCCTCAGTTATAATTAGTGTTAATAATTTTACTCACCAGCAATGTCTTTGCAATGTATATTAACCAGAAAATACGTGACAGTTAAATTCAGCTAAGATAAAAAGGGTATGTGTATAAATATCTTCAAAAAATTTACAGATGCTTACCACAGATGGGACTTCCTCAGTGCAACAGTGTCATTTGACAAAAAAAGATTTGATCAAAGCACATGAAAGCAATATACTTGTTCTTTCTCTCTGTGGATTAATAGTGATGATACATAGGTTGTCGTTTATTCTGTGCTATTTACAAAACTTTTTAACAATGCTCTTCTGGAAAAGAAGTCTGTTTTCTAAAGTCTTTTTCATCTAATTTAAAATGTGTATGAGCAGTAATACCGTACGCTTATACATTATGAGAGACTGTCCAAACTGAAGGTGGTGATAGACCAGGCTTAATTCTGCCTACACAGAAGCTGACTTTGCAAGTATGAAGTTGGTAATTGTTATGCTTGGTCTTTATCTTAGGCTGTATCTGCTTTCCCAGAGATGAGGACATTTTCTGCCCAAAAGCTTGCCTAATTTCTATCCCAACTATGTAACTGGTTTAGTAAAAATAAATCTTGCTTTTCAGACCATCTTGGCCATAATATCACTATAGCAATCATCTGCAAGCAGGCCATTGTATTTCCAGTTTGCATTTGATAAAAGAGCACAGCCAAGATGTGCTGCCTTACAGCTGTGGAAGCAGGAAAGCACATCCCTGGAAAAGCCAGCTTAAGGAAGCAGATGTAAATTAGTGGCTTATAAATCTCCAACCTTTGCTGTTTACATCTCTTACTGCTTTTGTGTGTTCTCTTCCATGGGTTATAGTGCTGCCAAGGGGAGTTCTCAGTCTCTAACAACCTTTTACTTTTTGTCTTAAATCAGAAAGAATCATCTGCTTGCCTTGTTTTCCCTTTGCCAATGTTGCAGGTGGAGTTGGAGGTCACACTGCCAGGAGAAGGGAAGGACAGGATATTTAAAGTGGCTATCAAATGGATGTCCTGCGTGAGTCTGCAGGCTTTACATGATGCTCTTTCTGGTCGGCTGCCAAGTGTTCCTTTCGAAACCATCCAGGCATTGGATGTTGTGATGAGGCATTTGCCTTCCATGAGGTGAGGAGAAGGCCTTGAAAGCCTTTAGAAAACTTATCATTTGAACTGTTTAAATGCCTCTTCTACTTTAACATTGTTTTTTTTTTTCGTGGACTTAGCAGCAGCTACTCTTGCTGTTCTGTTTGGAGAGCTAACCATGAAAGAATCAGTGCTGTTACTTTTGGGTGGCCCTAGTGACCAAAGAGATCATACTAATTAGTGTGGTACACAGTAGTGCCAGCACAGCCGAGCTCTGACTGTTGCCATGTTTGCTGTGTCATATCAAAGAAGGGTTGTCAGTGCTGCTCTTCAGTCCAGAAAGCACTCATTGCCATGTCCCAAGAGTCTTGAGGAGCCCAGATTTATTCTTCAGCATAAAACGTAGACAAAACATCAATTAAAGCAGGTCCTCTTCTCACCAGCTGCCAGCAGCTTTTTCCTTTTCCTCTGAGAACTGAAAAGTAGCATATGCTCTTCCCTTCAAACCTCTTCCTTCAAAGCATCCTGTAAGAAGCTGTTTGTAACTGAAATGAGCCATTTGCTGCTTTTCCAGCAGGGTCTAAAATGGTCTGGGGATGGTTTTGGCATAGCTCTTCTAGACTTTATTTTAATGACAAAGTGGCTTGCAACTTGAATGAGATGGCTTTGTGCCTATTTCTGGGGAACTTCTCCCAAAGCACAGGAGAATATATAAAGGGGCTTGTTTGAAAAATCAAAAAGCTGGGTGGTCAGGTCTGGCATCTGTGGCTGATTTGGAAGCAGGGTCTGACATTTGATAGTGAATTGGAAATGATAGGTCATTCCAGGATAAGTCACTGAAGACTGGGAATGAAGATAAGCTGATTTTGTTGGATGTGGTAGAGGAGGTGGAATTAGAATTAGACTTGGAAATGGGTTGAAGATGTGAGGATGGGAAATGTGCAACTAGGAGGTTCATTGTGGAAGCTGAAGTTATGAGAGGTGTCTGGAAGATTTGAAGATGAGAAGAAAAAGTCAGATATGAAATTGGAGAACCTTCTTATAGATAATGATCAGCTAACTTTAGACAACTTGTATTGGGTACCTTCAGTGACACTCTTCCAAATGCTAACTAATGTCACCTACTTAAATAGTTGCATTATCTCAGATTTCTTTAAAAACTTGCCCACTTGCTTTGACACTTACTAAAGAATTAAATGACTTCTCTAAGGCCAGATTTCTATCTCAGTTACACTGCTAACTTCAAAGTAAGATAATTGAGTTGGAAAATGGGAACTGCAAATAGGGTAAACACTGAGTTCCTTTCCTTGATTTATGTGACAAAATGAGCTTTTTGGGTAGTCAGGTAAGGGATACTTAAATGCCAACAGCAGCAGAATGGTTGCTTTCTTTGACAGGAGTCTAGCCAACAGACCTAGCCATACAGGAAGTAGCTGGAAGGATTTAAAATAACCAGTTAAGTTAAATCTGTAGATTTTTTTTTATTTGTTGTTGTTCTTTTACTATATAGTTTCCCCCTATTTTGGTTTGTTGATCTGATTCAACAGCTAATGAATTTATCTTCCTGATTTTCAGGTATACCCCTGTGGGGAGGTCTTTTTTTACTGCCTCTGAAGGGTGCTCAAATCCTCTGGGTGGTGGCAGAGAAGTTTGGTTTGGATTCCATCAATCAGTCAGACCTTCACTGTGGAAAATGATGCTTAACATTGATGGTAAGTACAGCACTATTTCTTCAGTTATGTTCTTTTCTGTTCATTTAAAATGAACAAATTGAATCCCAATTTTGGACTTCTCAAGAACCTAAGTTTTATATGAAATCTGCTTTGGTTTAATTAATTGTGCAACCATGTTTCTCTTTGTCTGTAGTGTCTGCAACAGCATTTTACAAGGCACAGCCAGTAATTGAGTTTGTATGTGAAGTTTTGGATTTCAAAAGTATTGAAGAGCAACAGAAACCTCTGACAGATTCCCAAAGGGTAAAGTTTACCAAAGAAATAAAAGGTAAGAATTAAGCAATAGACACAAAGCTTCTTAATGCTGTTTTATGATATCAAGTTTTAAGTAGAGATGCACCGATATATTGGTTTATATCGATCAGCATCAACAAAAGGGAAATGGACATTATCAGCGATCGGCTTTTTTTTGGCTGGAATAGCCAGTAACGTCACCAATTAAATGTTTCATGCTGCCCCCCATGCCCCTTCCCTTCCCTTCCCCACACGCATTCTTCTCCTCCCCCCCGACTTGCAGGCCAGCACTGCTGTCCAAGCTGCCGGGCTGCACATCAGCAATCATATCTGTATTGGCCAATATGACGGGTTAATAATCAGCTATTTGGTATCAGCCAAAAACATCTCTATTGGTGTACCCCTACTTTCAAGTAGCCAAGGAAGATTTTATTTGCTAAGAGAGTTTTATTTTCCTATTGGGAGAGAAAATGACTGCTAGAACACTGCCCCTGTGCTCTTGAGCAGAGATTAAACTGGCATCTTATGACAGATGCATTGCAAGACTTCTAGAACTCCAGTGGTCAGGTCTGTATTTCAGCCTTTCCTATTTTTCCTTTTGCCATGTGGCTTTGGAACCCATATTTATCCTTCATGTGACTCATGAAATCAGATGGTTTGTCTACAAGCAGAGTTGTACATCTTAAGTAGGTGTGTGGTTTTAAATTTACTTAATTAGATCACTACAAAAAGTTATATGGGCAGTTATTTCTGCTTAAATTTATTTAGTTTAGGAAAAGATAATTAGGGAAAGGTTTAAGATGAACTGAAATAAGTATTTGCACAAGACTATACCAGTTTAACTAAGCAAATTTAACATAATACATTTTATTGGTACAAGTCCATGTGTAAACAAACCTAATTGTCTTGAAGTTTGTTTGACTGTTAGTAGCATTAACCTGAGCTTTTGGGCTTGTCTAAATCAGTAAGAATTATCAAAATTAGGTCAGAGTTAACCTGTCTTTTAGTTGAAACAACAATTCTACGTGAACCGTGCTTTCTAGCATAGGTCAAATTCTGTTCCTGGTTTTACTCCTCGAGCTGGTCGGGCACTGCATCCTGCTGCTAGGGGGTTAATGGAGAAGCCACAGGATTTTGCTTTTTTCCCTCACTGCAGCTGCCTGTGCAGTCCCTGTGAAATGCTGTTATTAATGGTATTTTTAAGAAAAGTTGGGGTTTTTTGTGGGGTTTTTTTCCTCCCCTTCATTCACTTTCCAAAAAACAAAATGCAGGTCAGTGTGTGGTATGCAAGAAAAAGTGTTGCAGTTGGAACTGAACACACCTGTACAGTTAAGGTACAGTTCAGGTTTTTAATTCCCTCTTTAATATTTTAAAAATAAAGCATGGGAAGAATTTTAGGGGGATTTTTTTGGGAAGCTCAGGATCAAATAATTAGCAGTTTAAATTTTTTTCCCCAGTGACTCTAGGTTTTTCAATTAACAACATGTTTTTCAGCCTTTTCAGAATTCACAATTTTACAGGCAGTTCTTTAAGTATTCACATGTAGCATATGTTTCATACTTGCAAAAGCCAACATCTTTCTGAACACTGAACAAGACATTAAAATCCTTGGGTAACTGACATCACATAGTTCCTTTCCTTGGTGAACCCAGTTTTTATGATGCTTTTAACAGTCCAAACTTGTAATTTTGATTTATCTAACACATTAGAAAGGATGAAAAAAATTATAAATTAGCTGCTTAGACTACTTATGCTACCTATTTCTAAAAAAAGATGCTAGTATCTTTATAGATATTTGCCATTTAAAGATGGACGTCTTTAGAAAAGATGGAATCTTTAAAAAAATATGGCTCAGTGCATTATCCAGTCTTTCTTATTTAAGCTTCTAGAAGGATTTTAATCCCATATTTCATCATGCTTAGTAATGGTATTAGAGGTGCACCAATATATCTGCCCATATCAGATTGTCACTGATAAAAGGAAAATTGACATTATTGGCCATTGGCTTATTTTGGGGGGGAGGCCAGTACCATCACTGATAAATGCTGTGTGCATGCATGGAACCCAGCAGTGTGGAGAGCAGAGTCCAGTTGGTAAGTCTGTGGGGAGGGAAGGAGAGTGGGGGGGCAGATTGAGGCCCTTGTGGTGAGGGAGCAAGTAGGGCAGGCACTGCCCAGCTGCGGCAGGGCAGGGTGCAGGATGGAGTCGCGCTGGCTCATCTGGGGCAGTGGCTCACCGCTGCTGTGCACACCCCAGAGGGAGGCACGGAGGTCATTTGCCCCCAGGACTTGTTTCATAGTTTCACAGTTTCTAGGGTCAGAAGGGACCTGAGCAGATCATCTAGTCTGACCCCTGCCATGGCAGGAAAGAGTACTGGGGTCAAACGACCCCAGCAAGGTGTACATCTAGCCTCCTCTTAAAGACCCCCAGGGTAGGAGCCAGCACCACTTCTCTTGGAAGTTGGTTCCAGATCCTAGCCACCCTGAC